GTCGTCGATATTGCTCTGTTCTTCCTGGAGATATTCCAGAAGAAGAAGATTCTGTTGTAAGCCCGACAGCAGGGTGAGTAGCATTAGCAGCAACGGCGCCATTGTTGTTGTGATGTGTGAGCTGTTGTTGAAGCTTGGACAAGCTTTATTTCACTAAGGATTTAAACATCGATATAACATAAGTGTTTATGTGTTCCTCACAGCTCATAACATTTTGATTACCAAGTATGACCAAGAGTCATTTAATGGAATCCTGATGTATTAAGAGTCATTTGATTATAGGTTATTGGTTCTTGATTAAGCAAATCGTTTAATAATATATTAATATATGAATATAATTTGGCCAAATAATGTTTTATTCACTTCGTGGATTTGCATTGTGAATTGATCTGAAAACATTTCAATTTCTCTACATTAGTGAAAAGCTAATTTGATCATATCCCAAATTCTTCCAGATAAACTTTGGTTTTCAAACACAAAATTCATCTTAAACTGTTATATGATATTCAACCATGTTCCCCTTCCTCTTTGTACATAGTAGTTTAGTTTACTTGAGTCTCACTAGTTTTAGTTAAGAGTTTTAAACTGTAATATGTTTGACTTGGTGCTGAATTATTCTGTTAATAAACATATTTTAGCTAGTAAAGTAAATTAGGTCTGGGATCTGTTTTGCTTTGTGAGGACCAAATTGAAAATTTTTAAAAGCTTTTCTTATATGTTTAAGTTCACCTTCAGCTGTGACACATACAATCCAAGCGGAGGAACAGACTGGATGTAGAGAAGAGCCTGGTATCAGCTGTTTTTCTTGCTGAGCTATCAGAGCTCATCAAAGCAACTCAGGTGTCTTGATGAAAACAAAGTAAAACTATTTAAATTCAGTCTGACTACAATTGTTTTTCTGTATTTTTTTTACAATTCATCAAGTTTAAATTGTGATTATAATGGAATTACTCAGAGGAGCTCAAGTTTGATAAATACACGTTCATAATATAATTTTATGTTGTATTTATTCCTTACTAACTTCCAGGCAACGCATCAATATTTTTTTTTTTTTTTATCTGAGATGAAAGCACAAAATGCCTAAGAATTAAATGCTTAAATTAAAATCAATCATGTATGTTCCACTTTTGGACAATCATCAATACTTTTGACTGAGAGGTGTACTCATGGCAAAATAAAATTTGCAAAGAGGTACACAACACAAAAAAGTTTGGTAAACACTGCTCCACACTATCTCTATCCAGTGCCATAAACTGTGCCTGAGGTTGGAAAGAAACTACATAGTTTGTACCAAAAAGCAAGGCTAAGTACTGGTTCTGATCCAAGGTAACACCCATGTCTGTCTTCATTTTATGTGTACTTAATACAATTTCAACCAAATTTTTGCTGTCATTCCTATTCTAATTCAATGTATTTTTTTTCCTACTTCTATAGGGATAGTTTTTGTTGCCAATTTACTACATTTTCTAAATATCTGGTGCGGCTCCAGTTTTAACCCTGTCCTTGGGGCCACTGTAAGCAAAAAATAAATATAATATGAAGGACTTTAACTTTTGTGCAAAAAAGTTTTTACTTCTATTTACATGCATGGATCTGCAAGCTAGCTACAGCTCTATCTATCTTTCTGTATGATGACAAACCCATTTCAAGCATTTTACTAAAAACCACAAATGCAATTATTTGCCCAGCCCTATTAATACTCATAAGAAGCTTGCACCTGATTATGAAAACATGATTTTATTCTTGGCAAGACAATCATAAGAGCTTAAATAGAACTAGGAGCTGGGCTTGTCTTGCTTCTTGAAATGGTTTATTATTCACCCCAAAGGCTTCTCCTTTCACCTATCAAGAACTTTTTGGATTCAGAAACACTCTGTACTGGTTTCGGTCTAATTTGAGCAGGATAAATATTTGCAGGAATCCAGCAGATCTTTGAATGTCAAACTTACATTACACACTTTAGGTGGTTCGCTCTTGCAGCAATATGAAGCGGTGTGTCACCATGAACGCTGACAGCGTTCAGGTCGCATCCAGTTTCCAGCAGGGCCTGGGCGATGCCATCACAGCCTGACAACGCCGCCCAGTGCAGACCGACATTTTCTTCCTAAACAAAGCCCAGAGTAGGAGACAACACAGGTTCATAAAAAAGTGCAAAAAGTGCTAATACTCCTTGTGGTTTATGGGTGTATTAAGATGCTCATAAACCACAGTGAGACTCTCAGAGTTGGGAGATTTATATTTAATTTTTTTTCAATGTTTTTCAATACTCTTCTTTCAGTTGCACCTTTGAAAAACTAAGTACCAAATGTAACCAAGTGGTTCATCCAAGTCGAATAGGTCCAATGGTAACTTATTCTTCAAGATATCATTTAGGTTTTAAACATATTATTCTGTAGTGGGAGTAAAATAAGCTGACCGCAGTCACAGATTAATCAGATTAAGCATTTTTGTGACCCGTCGGCATTTTGCACAACACAGAGCTTTATTAAAATGTAATTTACTCTGGAACACCTGTGCATCCACAGTATGTTCAGTGACTGATACTTATAAACCCAAAAGGTCAGTTTGAGATGGCTCTATAAAGGCAAAGCAGCGTGTTGTCAAAACATACCTTGTCTCTGATGTTAACATCAGCCCTTTTTTTCAGAAATAGATGAACCAGCTCTTTATGCTTGTATTCAATGGCCCAGGTGATGGGAGTCCACCCTCCATTATCCTGAACAGACAACAGGTTGCAAATCATGTCAAGATTCTTCACATATGGGTTTTTTTAATAACGGAAATGTAAAATTTCATTACTTAAATGGAGGTAGTTATAAAAAAATGCATCAAGTTGAGAAAGTTGACTGTTTTATAGACAAATGCTTCTTAAGTGACACAGATGGTTCTGACATATTATAGAGTTGGAAGATAACCACAATACCGAAAGGGGTCTGGCTGCAGACCAGCCCTGTTGGGACGCTTCATTGCAGATCTGCACAATGCAGTCTCCTGCACTGTAAGAACAAGAAGTTTATTACAGACGTTTTAATTAAAACCTTCAGGAATAGTGAGTAGCTATGCTTTTTTTTTTTTTTTTTTGGCGACGTGAGTGCTCACTTAAATGTGCCTTTTTCCGTACTTTTCCCCACTTAAAGACCAAGAAACCATGTGTATCTTATGTATTTTGGATGATTTTCTTTTACCCAGTACCACATTATCTGCCTCTTACAGCTGCATGTTTTAATGTGACTCTAACCACTGCACATCATTCAGATAAATTTGCTGTTTCCACAATAAAAAAACACTTCCAAGAATATGAAATCGACTACTGAAACAAGTTTTTTTTTTGTATCTTCTGTTAATAATGCACTGAGAGAACACAAAGCTAAGTTAATTTGAAATCACACACTCCATTGGTAAATCTGTTTTGTCCAACAACAAAAGGTAAGACCATAGCACAGACAAAACTAAAAGAATAAAGAATATATAATACTTTCAAACACAAAGATGTCTTTATAAGAGTTAAGTTTATTAATTCGACATTTTCTTGCGTTTTTAACCTTATCCAGTTGAACTGGAGGTAGATTATATATAAATCATTAAACATATGAATACACCAAATATTTCTATTGAGAAGACCCAGGAAATAAACAAGGAAACGTGAAATATTTCCGCTATACTAGCTTTTATTTCATTTCACTTTTACTTTGAAAAGCTTCAAATAAACTTGCTGTTCTGAAAGTGCAGGGGACCTTACAGTACACGTCTGGAACCAAGGGTCCTGACAGTGCAGGTCTACAGCTAAACTCTCTTGATAATATCTGCATTTATATGATATTATTTTGAAAGAGGCCACATTGTTGATTATCAGATGCCAAAAATCTTTGCAAAACACCAAAATGAAGCATTTACTCTATTATTTATTTCATTAAGCAAATAGTTGGTTATGGTGTTGTGACAAGGAAGAAAACAATAACCAAAAAAACGTAAGTTCACCTGAGCTCACTGTCCATGCTAGCAAAATAAAAAAGAAGCATGGGTCATGAGGCACTCTGTAGTTTTGATGCACCCACTTTTTCCTGATTTATTTCTTTTTATATTCTTTATATATCTGACGATGTTGGCAAAAACCCAGAACACCATTTCAATTGGGTTTAAAAATTCATATACATATACACTGATATTTATGTAATCATTTTCTTATCTTTAATATAAGTAAAAATATCAACTACCATTTTTATTACTAAAATGGGGGTTGATATACTGTGAAATCTCAGGTGAACCCAGCAGTTATTTGAGGAAGATGAGATACACATTTACCTGACAATTGATGTATTTTGGTGCCTTGATAAGCAGATGATTGGCAACATCATAATGTCCCATCTTAGCAGCCAGATGCAGACAGGTGAAACCCATGATATCCTGGGATGATATTATGATTCACAATGAAAAGAAACTAAATGGATACTACCTTGGACCAAAGGATACTCACCTTTATTTAAACAAAGGAAATAAATAAAAGAATAGAAGAACAAAATCAATAACATTTTAAATTAAGTCAATCCCATTGCAGAAGTTGCTGTAGGCACAAAAACAACCCACTGTAGCTAAAGTCTATGGTGAGGCTAATCTAACATGTCGGCAGTGGTCACCACACATTGTGACACATTAGACACATTGATAATGTTCAGCTTTAATACAGATAGTGCAAGAAATTTGACTCATGAAAGATGGTTCTGTTCACTTGGGTTCTTGTGGCACCTCAGTGATCATAAGAGGATCATTTAATTAGAGCTCAGTGTTCAGAAAATAGCTGCGTCTCAATTCGCAGGCTGCGTACTTCCGAGGACCCAGCCTACCTAGCCTCCGGAGGACCCAGCCTTGGTAGGCTGCTCCGGAGGATCCTCAGCCGTTGGTAAATGGGACGGTCTAGCCTTTGGAGCACTTCCTGGTTG